GGGATTTTGGGGGGTCCCAGGATTTTGGGGGAGCCCCTCCCCCTTCCAGCAGCCCCCGTGGGCTTTGAGAACCCCTCCCCCCACCGAGGACCCCCCGTTTTGGGGGGGATTCACCTTGAAATTGGCCTCGAGCTCGTTGTAGACCGAGATCTTCCCCCGCAGGGCCGAGCACACCAGGCTGGGGGAGGGAGAGGTTGGGGGGGCTGGGGACCCCCAAAACCGGGACCCCCACCCAGGGACCCCCCTCAAAATTGGGACCCCCACCCAGGGACCCCCCAAAATCGGGGCCTCCATTCCAGGGGTGTCCCAGTCCCCATCCCAGGGTGTCCCTGTCCTGTCCCCTCCCCTCCCATCCCCGTCCCCGTCCCTGTCCCTGTCCCTGTCCCTGTCTCCCTCCCAGGCCTATCCCCATCCCAGGGGTGTCCCCAGGGGTGTCCCTGTCCCCTGTCCCCCGTCCCTGTCCCCGGTGTCACCTCTTGTGCTGGTCCAGCAGGTCCTTGTCGCTCACCAGCACCTTCAGCTCCTTCAGGTCCTGCAGGAACGACTTGGGCAGGTCCCCGTCGGGATCGGCTGCTTCAGGGGCTGTGGGGACACAGTGGGGACATCATGGTCAGCGGGGTCATGGGGTCACAGGGACAGGGTCAGCAGGGTCACCGGGGTCATGGGGTCACAGGGACAATGGGGTCATGGGCATTTTTGGGTACCCAAAGCCCCCTGGCTCCAGTGGGCCATCATGCTCTGGGGATTTTGGGGTTTTTGGGGTGGTTTTTTTGGGGTGTTTTTGGTGTTTTTGGGTACCCAAAGCCCCCTGGCTCCAGTGGGCCATCATGCTCTGTGCGCAGGCGGCGAAGTCCCCGAAGCTCAGGAACTGCAGGCGCCTCTTGCCCGTCTCGAAGCGGCTGTTGGCGAAGAACACGATGGCGGCGTAGTCCCTGGAGGAGAAAGGGGGGTCAGGGCACCCCAAAAAACCCCAAAACCTCTCCCACAAACCCCAAATCCCAGAGAACACGATGGCGGCGTAGTCCCTGGTGGGGAAAATGGGGGGTCAGGGCACGCCAAAACATCCCCTAGACACCCCCCACAAATCCCAAAACCCTAAATNCCCCCCCCGACAAACGGCCCAACCTCAGCCTCGATTCCGGCTCTTTATTGCACCCCCACCCCAATTTTTGGGGTCACACGGGAGGGGCACCCCTGGTTTGGGGAGTCCCAAATTTGGGGGTCCCCTCTTTTTTGGTGTCTCCCTGTTCCCAATGTCCCAATTTTTGGGGCACTGCCGCTGCTGCTCCTTGAGATTTGGGGTGTCCCAGGTTTGGGGTGTCCTGGTGCTTGGGGTCCTTTCCTGCAGGTTCCCCAAACACCCAAATTTTGGGGTGCTGATGCTCCATCCTCGGCCCGTTGGGTTTTCACATTTCCTGTCCTTTTTGGGGTCCCATATTTGGAGGCTGCCCAAGCGCAGCTTTTGGGGTATCTTCAGCTTTTGGGGTACCCCCATTTTGGGGTCATTGCAGGTTCTGGATCCTTTCCTTTCCCAGGGGCGCCGCATCCTCAGGACGCCGTTTTTGGGGCTGTGTCCGTTTCAGGGGTGCAGTTTGGGGTGCAGCTCTTGAGGCTGTCCCCATTTTTGGGGTACAGTTTGGGGTCAGTCGTGGTACATGCGCAGCAGGCAGGCGCTGATGGCGGCCATGTAGCGCTCCCACAGCGCTTGGTGCCTGCAGAACGGGCAGAAATTAAATTTTGGGATTTTTGGGGGGCACAAATGGGATCTGGGGGATCCCTCGCTTTTAGGGAACACCCCCGGAGCTCCAAACCACCCCCAGCCCCGTTCTAGGTGGCTTTGGGGCTCCCCTAAAGGCTCCTGGGGGGAGATTTGGGGAGTTCCTGGGTTTGGGGTCCCACCTGAAGCCCGGCAGGTTTCAGGGTGATTTGGGGTGATTTACGGGGGGTTTCTGGGGTGTTTTAGGGGGTTTCTGGGTTTTGGGGCTCACCTGAACCCCGGCAGGTTTCGGGGTGCTGCCGTGTAGTGCGTCAGGAAGAGCCTCAGGTCCCCCGGGCTCCACTTGTCGGAGCGGCACGGCTCGATCACCTGGGGGGACCCCAAAAACCCACCTGGATCTGGGGGGGTCCCACTCCAGGGGGGTCCCCGGGGGGGTTCTGGGTTCCAATTTGGGGGTGTGGTTTTTGGGGTGCCCCTCACCTTCTCCACCAGGTCCACGAAGAAGTCGCGCACGTCACGGG